TTCATCCAGACAGGGTTGAGGGAAAGAGGGAGGTGAAGGTGTGGGGGTGCCCGCAGCAGAAGAGTCCTCTTCTCTGGAACTGAGGCCACCTCCCGCCAAACTGTCTCACCACCCTGGGCTGAGCAGCAGTCCCAGCTACATGGAGCCCGGCTCTACCCAAGTTTAGCATCTGCCTCTGCCCAGAAACTTCTGTAGCTCTTCACCTGCAGTCCCCATCCCAGGCCCAACCAAGCCCCCCAGACACCACCCCACCCCGCCCCCAACATCTTGGAAGAGAGGGGGGACTTGAGGTAGATTTTTAAAGCCTGAGTGGCCAGATCTAGCAGCCACCCACCTTGACCCACCTTTGGACTCAGAAAACTCAGGGCAGGCGTGGAGGGGAGGGCAGAGCCTCCCTGGACTCCTGCCCAAGTTGCAGAGATGGGACTTTGCTGGGGGAGATGATGTCTTTCGACCTCCCAGCCCCAGCTGGGTGAGCTTTCTGTTTATACCTCACGGCCCCAGGAAAATTGGGGGGAGGGGGCCTTCCCCCCTCAATGGGAAACTGAGGCCGGTGGGGCTAAAGGGGCAGCCCCAGGGTCACAAAGCAGGGAAAAAACTAGCGAGTCCTGGTGCCCAGCCCAGGACAACCCCATTATTCCCTGTGAAGCCGCTCTGACAGAGGCCGCTCAGAGGCAGAGCCTTAATTTGGAGCCCAAACCCCGCTTGCGTGTCAATGCCCTTCAGCTTGTTAGGAAGGGTGTAGAGGGAGCTATAGAAACAGGGGAAAGCAGGATGTCCCCGCTGCAGGTCCAGACAGACGCTCACGTCTGGCGGTGGCAAAGACAAGTTGATTCTACCCAGTTCCGAGATCCCCTGAACACATCTGCCCCGGACCGAGCCCAGCTGGCTCCCCCACACCCACCACCGGGTCTCTCCCTAGGGCTGAGCATCTACTGGAGGCTGGCCCTGCCCCAAGGGTCCACGAAGGCCTCTCGGTCAGCACCCCACCATCCTGACTCCCCTCCCTGTGACAGGCACAAGTTGGAAAAAAGATGGGGTGGCATTTGTGACCTTTGGGCGGGGAAGGGAGGGGAACAAAACAACCCAGCCCAGCCACAGGGTCCTCCTGAGGTCCCTGGCTTTTTCCTTCTACCACCACCTGTGAACACCCACCTCTGACGTCCGCCTCAGGCAGCTTCTCTGGCCAGAGACTTTGACAGGCGCTGAGCGACATTCAGGCAGGCACGCTCAGCCCTCTCCCCGGTGTGCGTGCGCAGTGCCCCGCCGGCGTGCGTTCTGAGGACAGCCACCCCACCTCCCAGACACAGCCTGTTACGCCAAAGCGCTGTGTCGAGTCGCAGCACGGAGCTCCCACACGCCGATATGGACTGGGTTTCTCTTTGCAAACACACGCATTTACACTCACAACATACACCCCAACCCCACGTTCAGTCACACCCAGGACTCGCGTCCTGCTCCAGGCTGACTATGGGATTCACGCCCAGCCCTGGACCTACTGACCTTCTGTGACGCCGCCGCCCAGGTTCACTCCGAGATGCGGACCGAATGTCAACAGCCAGTCGCGGCGGTTGTCTCCGCCTGTGCGCCCGCCACAGCGACGTCCGCGGTCTCCATCCGGACCCAGGCCCCCTCCTCCTCCCCCGCGGCGGGCCGCTCTCGCCGCCCGCCCCGCGCGTGCCCCGTCACCGCGGCGCGCACACGCGCACAGCCCGCTGCGGCTCCGCACGCCCCAAGCAGCTCTCGCCTGCAGCTGCGGCGCACCTGGGGGGCCCGCCGCCCGCCAGTTTGTGCCCGGCCGCCAGCTGAGTCGCTCCAGCCGCCGCCGGCTGACTGCGGGCCGCGCCCACCTCGCTCTCCGGTCCCCGAGACACCGCCGCCCGGGCCGGCCGCCGCGCAGCTGCCGGAGAGGGAGTGGGAGGGCGGACGCCGGGGCAGACGAGGACACCGGGGATGGGAGGGGGGGATACCGCGGATCCTGAGCGCAGCGAACACCATCCGGACTGCCCAAGGCGGCTCCTCGGGAACAAAGGCGCGGCCGGGGCCGGCGCGACCGAGGGACCCAAGGGAGAACGGCGGGAATGGCCCACCTGCCCAGAGAAGTTCCCGGAGGACGGAACCCCGAGGCAGGACAGTGGGCAACCGAGGCGCAGGCGGATCCATGGGTTCCTGGTCTATTGAAGACGTTCTAGGGCCATCCCCAGCTCTCAGAAGGGTGGGACCTGGGAGGGGGGACGGTGCTGTCTGCACTTGGAAGTGGGAAGAGTCAAGGATGCCAGAACTCTGAAACTGCCCCTGCCTTGGACCTGGCAGCCTGGAGCTTTCATTCACTCACTCCACACAAATCTCCTCAGCTTCGTCCAAACCAAGGCATACTCATGAATTTGAAGGGGCTGAAGGGACGAAGAATCTTCTAGGCAGCCTTTGGGTTGCCCAAGTCTCTTCCTCCGTAACCTCCGGGAGGGCAGCCTCTGAATATGGGGTGCGCGCCCCAGTGATGGGACACTCACTCCCTCAGGGGGCTACCTACCTGACCTCAGGCAGCGCTCCGAGCTAGAAAGCCCTGCCTTTCACCACCGCAAGTCGGCCCTGCTTCTGTCTGCCGGCCAGGCCTCACTCTGGCCACAACTGAGTTCTGCTTCTAGGGCCTTGTACTAGCTGTTCCTCCCGCAGGGATCCTCTTCCACCCCATTTCCTGAGCCCTTTCCCCACCATCCATTCAACCAGCACCTTTTCCACGTGGCCACCCCGCTGTGTCCTTCAGGACTCAGCTTGCACGTCACTTTCTCAGAGAGAACTTCCACCTCTCCCGAAGCTCCACATGCCCACTGGTCATTCTTTATCTTGGTGCCCTGTTTTAGTTTCTTCCTCGCTCTGAAAAGTTCACTCTGAAATGTCCTTGTCCCTGCGGCTACAGTCTGTCCCTCCCACTAGAAAGTGTGCCCCGTGGAGGCAGGTCCTTGTCTGCCTGGAAACAAAAGGCACTATAACCCCAGGGCCCGACCTGCAGCAGGTGGAAGGAAGAAAGGAGGTGGGGTGGCCAGCCCACAGTCTGAGTCCCTTCAGCAGTCTGGTCCATCGCCCCGAAAGGCAATCTGCTCAGCCGTTCAAGGGTAACATCTGGCACAGTATTGGCAGAGGAAATGTGTGCAATTCCCATCCACCAATAAATGAACGGAAATCAAAGGAACATTCCACTGAAAGTCAGAGACTCAGAGCAGAGCAGCAGGTCCTTCCCGCCCTCGCTCTGCACTCTGCCCTGAGCTCTTGCAGCTCCGCATGCGAGCATTTTCTTAAAACCTAAGTCATGGGGCCATACCCAAGCGTCTGGTCCACTGGACCCCTCGGGCAGCTCTGATCCCTCGCCCTGCTGCCCAGGTGCAGACAGGATTGGAGGCCAAAACAGACTTCTCCCCCGTCCCTGCTAAATGGTACCTCCTACACCTGGCAGGACCTGGAATCCAGCCCCCAGGGCAGTGTGGGTCCCAGTTCTGACATCTCAGCTGTTGTGATGGTGCCAAGTTCCTGCCATCAGCAAAGGCACCAGCATGCTCTCCACATCCTTCCGCACCACACCACTCACAGACATGCTGAGCAGGACTCAGCCAGTGGCAGCTCACTGGTCAACCTCCCTGTCCGTGTCATCTCCCAGCTCATGTTCCTGTGTCACCTGCAAGGCTTTGTGGGAAGAAAAGAACCATTTATCGCTGGAACTCACAACTCCTACTCCAATACCCATCTTTTCTCTACATTCTTTGAAATCCACCTCTGGAATCCAGGGCACCCATTCCCTCAACACCAAGTGTTCTCAGGCGGCCTGAGTCACCTTTCCCAAGGTTCCTGTCATCTCCACATCACCATCTAATGATTTTTTCCTCTTTGGGCAGAGTTGGATCCAGAGTACCACTCATCTCCCTGCTTCCTGGACCTTCTGAAATCATCAGTGAGGTCACAGGGAGCAGATGCACTGCTCTCAGGCAACTGAGGTTCCGGGCAGCTGTCTGGTGAGGTGAAGCCTTCCGTCACATCTACACTGCATCCCCGCAGCGAGTGTGGGAAGCTGTGGCACAGGCACCATCCTGCTCTCCGGCTGCCCACGGCGCCATGATGCACCACCCATTGACATCACGTCCATCCTCTTCCCTTCAACCACCCCTGGAGGAGAGACCTGTTCGTCCTTGGTGTCAAGAGTTCTGCTCATTTAAAATATGATACAAAGAAGTTTTGATGGGGAAAGTGATAAGGAAGATCCAGGGTTCGGTCTGGCCAAAGCCTTGGGAAGGGATGTGGCGGCAGCAGAGCCACCCGGGAGATCTCTGTAGAGGCCAGTAACACTGGTCACACCTGTGTACACTATGAGCAAAAAGTGGGCAGGGCCCTGGCCGGGGGGCTCAGCTGGTCGGAACATCACTCCTTATGCCAAAAGGTTGGGGGTTTGATTCCTGGTCTGGGCACCTATGGGAAGCAACCAATCAATATTTCTCTCTCTCCCTTCCTCTCTATAAAATCAAAAAACATATCCTCAGGTAAGGATTTTTTAAAAACTGGGCAGGAGCCTGGGAACAGGAATCTAGGCCAGGAAAAGCCGTCATCTCCCAGCTCATCACAAGAAAGGCTGGGCTGCCTCCACCCAGGTCAAAGCAGGGGCTGCCCAGCAAATCTGGCTGCTATTTTCCCACTTGAAGAGGAACCAGTGGATTTCCTGGCTTTGGGACTCTCTGCAGGCAGCCCTTCACTCCAGACTCACGATCTTCCTCATAGACAGAAGACTATGGTCATGCCCATTTTACAGAGGGGAAAGCAGAGGCAGCGAGCTGCCTCTAATCATTCAGTGCATTCTAGGCTGGACAAACTCTTTCCAGAACCCATGAGGCCTCTCCACGAATGAGGGCAAGTGTTCCCCGATGCAGTTTTAGGGACCAATGTGGCTACATAAATGCCACCTGTGGGGGCCTGGAGTCTGGCCGAAAAGTGAAATTTAGAGCCGTAGATCAGTTTACCTGGAAGGAGACTCAAGGTCAGCACGGCTGAGGATGCGATGGTGCTGTGGGCTGTAGAGCCACTGGAAGGCTGTCAGCGTCCTCTCCTCGATGCGGAAACGCCCTTCCTGTACGTACCTGCGGGACAGGAGACAGTGAGGAGGGAGGCAGGCAGGGCGCCGCAGAGCTCTTCTGGGGAAATGGCCTGGCTTGCTGCCAAAACATGGATGTGAGGTACCTGTCCCAAATACCACCCCCTCGCTTATCTGCCGGAGAGCCTTGTTTCCAGGGGCCACAGTGAAAATTCCCTGAAGAGGAGGCCATGACAGGAAGCAGGTTTCAGTCAACGGAAAAGCGTTTTAAAAGTTGATCGTTTGAAGTTGAAAGGAAGCACTTGGAAGGAGTGAGTCCTTTGTCACTGGGGGTATGTAAGCAGAGGGTAGGCAGGGGCATTGAAGCACCAGATAAGGGTCCATTCTCCAAGCCCCCTACAGTAATGAGACACTGGACTTCCTGGTTTTACGGCAGGACAAGGCGGGGTGAGTCATGGGTCAAACATCAGGCTTAGGTCTTCAGCAGGTCAAGGGTCCCAACCACCTTCCAGACAGACAGTCCGCCTGCAGCAGGGATGGGGGAAGCTGGGCTGCCCAAGGTGAACACAGAAGGCTCTCTCCCACTGGCCACCTTCTCCTGGCAGAATTGTGCCTCCACTAATTAACTCAACATTTAACTGGGTGCCTATGATGATAAACCAGAGACTTAATCCCTGCTCTCCTGGAGTTTACAGTTTTGTGGGAACAACAAGAACAAGCATATCAGTACAAAGGAGCCCCTTTCTACGTTACCAGTGGGGGTGTCAGCGGTACAACCCTTCTGCAGGACAACCGGACAATGTGTCTAAGTTACGATTACACTTCCCAGTAGCCTGACAACCCCCGTTTGGAGAATTAATCTACAGACTCCAGCACGTGGACAAGGTGACCTGTGGCGCTGTTTACAACAACAAAAGGCTGGAACATCACCCAAGCGCTGGTCAGCAGGGGCCGGCTGCAGAACGTAAGTGACGGTGCACCCGTGGAGTAAGCCGGTGCGCGGCCATTGGTTTACAAGTGCTTCCAGTGAGAGTCTTCTCTGTGTGCTGCATGCAGGGATCTCCAAGACACATTCTTAAGATTTTAAAAAATCAGATGCAGGAAGAGCAGTATGTGTAATTTATGTCAAAAGGGGAAGGAATAAAGTACGAATTCGTATTTTCTTATCTTTATATGCAAAAATTCTGGAGACACAAGAGGTAATGTAGTTATTTGGGTGGGGAGAAGCGGGGGACTGGGTGACTGGGGGTGTAGGAGAGTGACTTTTTGACAATGAATCTTTTCACACAGGAGAGGTATTACCTATCCCAAATGTTTACTCTGTGTGTGTGTGTGTGTGTGTGTGTGTGTGTGTTTGCAAACTGCATACATTGCTATGAAAAAGACTTTCGCAGCTGCCCTGCCCCTGCCCCGTGGGCTCAGCCTACTTGCTGGAGTGGGAGGTCCCCAGGGGGCAGACTTGCCGGAGAAGAGAGGGCTTTCCTTGCTCCCCAGGGTCCCCAGGCCTCCGGTCTCAGAGCAGTGGGCCCACCTGTTTCCCTTCACTCTCCTTCACATGATCTGCTAGGCATTTGGGGGAGATCATCCGGGCTGCTGGGTGGAAAGAGCAAGGCAGCCAGGTTAGATGCTGCTGTAGGTGTCCAGGTGGGACAGCGGTGGCTTGTGAAGGCGGACAGTGCTGGAGATGGAGGGAAGCCTGTCAGGGAGGACTCTCAAGCGAGCTAAGGAGGCGGTGCGGGCGAGACCCGGCAGTGGGCTGGACACAGGTGAGGAGGGGACAGGCACAAAGTTGTTCCCAAGTTCCTGGTTCGTGCAGGTGGCTGGGCTAGGACAGGTTTGGGGAAGCGTCTTGATTTTAATTTGAGAATTGACTCTCCTCTGTGGCCTGTTCCTTGCCCCAAGGTGACACTCCTCTTGTAAAACCCGGCTCAAAACTAGGCTCCTCCAGGAAGCCCACCCTGATTAATGCCATCCTATCTGATGAGGTTGCCACGCCTTTTCCTGTCCTTGGGCTCACAGGACTCAGCCTTGAATGACTCACTCTGGCCGTCTCCGTGGGAGCAACTAATAACCCCGACTGCCTCCGAAGTAGAGGACTGAGTGGCTGGTGAGCACTGAAACTGCTTTAATGCTTTTTGAATTTGAACCATGGGAATATAATATGTTTTCAATGTCTTTTTCATTTGAGAACTCTGCTGATTATGAAGTCTTAGGTCATTAGGAAAAAAAAAAAAACAGGTCACTTATGGGTCCAACAGCTTTATTTTACAGATGAGGACAAACAAGCAAGAGCCAAGACCAAACAGTGGTATTTCCTCACTCGCGGGCTGATACACCTTGACCCCACGAGGCCCCCACAGGTATCTAGGCTGAAAGAGGAATAGGCCCACTCAGGAAACATCCCCACCCAAACCCTGTCCACACCCCCACTGACAGGGGAGTGCAAACAGCCTCAGACACAAGCACCACCTCTATCTCCTTGCCCCAGCCAACAACCAGCCACCCTTCCCCACCCCTCTCCCAGAGACAGGAGGAAGGGACTGTCCTTCACTATTTGCAGACACCCTGACCTGGTTCCACTTACTAGTATTAGCTATAGGTGAGTGCTTTTTCCATTGTGAGCCCCAGATTCCTCATCTGTCAAATGGGAGTAATAATAACGCCCACTTTGAAGGGTTGTTGCAAGGATTAAATGAGATAATATAAGGGGATGCTCTTTGCTACATGGTCATCATTGTCACCTTCCCTCCTCACCATCCTCCCTGGCCCTTCACTAGTCCACAGGCCTTACATGCTTCACCAATGACAGACAAACCCACTCCCTAAATTCTTTCCCATAAGCCTCATATCACACTCCTCGGGACGTGCCGGTCCCATTTTGGAGATGAGGTAGAAGAGGCTCGGGGGAAGAAAATGAATTCATCCAAGGTCACTCACACAGGAAGCAGCAGAAGCCGGCCTTTCTTGCACCTTTTGCCCGTGGTATCCAGTTTCTTTCTAATGGGTCTGCTCCAAATACACATCCTCTCCTTCCTCCGCACCAGCCCCTGTCCCCAACCGTCTTGTCCAGCTCCTCCCCTGACCCAGAGGGTTAGTGTCTTTCCACTGCATACCAAGTATCATCCAAACCGCTCACCTGAGACATCCTTCCCCACTTTGCTCCCTTCCAGCCTTTCCCGCCATTACACCTCACTCCCTCCACATTTACATGTACCAATCCCTCTATCCCCGGCTGCCTGCCCTTCTTGAAACATGCTCTGCCTTTTCTTATCTTGGAGCTTTTACTCAGCCTGTGCTCTGACCTAAACTGCTCATCTTCCGTCTCTGCCCCGGACCTGCCCACCCTGCCCCAGTGGCTCAACCCACACAGCCACTAAGCCCAAACCCCGGCCAGAATCCAAGCTGGCTCCAAGGTTCCCAAGATGCTTTGCTCAACCTTGTTCACAATGTTGCTCTCTGCTCGCCTGTGAGTTATTTATGAGCCTGTCTCCCTGCTGGAGTGCGAGACGATGTCTGACTATCTCTGAAAACCCACGCAGCTCTCTGGCCAACTGAGCCAGCCTTCAGTAGAAATCACAACAGTCGATGAGTGGTCATCGACTCACAACACCCTCAGGAAGCTCGAGTTATCTCCATTAATGAGTCCGATTGTATTTGCTGAATTGGACCACATTGAATATGAGGAAAAATAGAACACCTCCCATCCCAAAATATGTCTCTTGTTAACCTGCCACATCCCTGAAATTCTGTTGATCAGTACGTTGAAGATTAAATACAGTAGAGGGTTAGCCTTGGAAACCAGTATCAGCTACTAAAACTTTAGCAAAAACCAGCTTCTCAGATTCTCCTTGGGGGAGGAGAAGTGCAGGGACCTGGGCATTGGCAGGAACACGCTAAAGGGAATGAGCAGAGAAGAGGAAGGGCAGGAGCTGCTCATAGACAGGTCCCAGGTATAGGGCTGGGTGACACCCCAGGAGTATGCCACCCGTCACCACGGAGAGAAGGGTCTGGCCCTTCAGAGGCTGCACCTGTTTTTCAGGCTGAACACTGGAGAGATCAGGCAGTCACTGAAACCTGAACCTTGACAACATGATGCTAAGTGGAAGACGCCAGTCACAGAAGACCACACACTCTATGATTCCATTTATACAAAATGTCCAGGATTGGCAGATCCATAGAGACAGAAAGTGGATTAGTGGTTGCTTCAGCCTGGGGGGAGAGGGGTTTGGGAGGCAGTGGAGAAGCAGGACTGCTAAAGGTCATGGGGTTTCTTCGGAGGCCAATGAAATGTTCTAAAATTGATTATGGTGATGGTTGCACAATTCAGCAGATGTACCATGAACCACTTAATTTTTGCACTTTAAATCCGTGAGTTGTGTGATATATGCTGTTATAAAAAGTAAATAGACTTCCGCCAAGATGGAGGTATAGGTGGACGTGCCGTGCCTTCTCACACAACCAAGTTTAGGGACAACTAAATATTAGCAACACAAAACACAGCCAGAACACGGAAAATTGAACTTTTCGGAAGTCCGTTAACAACAAATTCTGCAGCCTGACCGGTAAGGGGCGAAACCAGTGGGTGGTGGAGCAGGATTGCACAGGAGGACTCGGTCAGACGGGCTCAGGCGCGGAATCCAGACGCACGGAATCCAGGCGCAGGGTTGGACCTAGTGAGCAACCGAGAGAGTGACCAGGCGAGCGACCGGGGAGGAGACAGCGGGGAAGCAGTGCTGCGTGTTGACTGGGGTCGCCTATTTGTGCGAGAGCGGACAGGCGAGGGAGTGGGCGGTTGGACCGGGGCCCGGTGTCCCCCCCGGCAAGCTGCAGTAGAGGGCGCTGCCATTTCCCCACTCTGACCACGCCCCCACATACAGCTTCACAACCCAGCGACCTGGGAGTCCAAGGCGCCGCTTCTCACACTTAAAGGGCCAGAACAGACCAAAAATGT